GATTTCTCCCGGCTAATGTTACGTTTTTCCAACAGCTTCGGAGGTAGTGGTGGCGTCGTTGACCGATTGTTTTCCTCTAGCTGCTCTTTCAAATCCGATTTATGGTCATTYGATGAGGGGGCGGCCTGGTTGGAGGTGCTGCTTAGCCGTTTGCTAGATGAACGTTTTCGCGGAGATGCAGGCATCTGCTCGTCRTCGTCATCATCATCGGCGTCGTTCTTGATGATGATCTTTTTGATTTCCTGCGTTTGTCGCAGCACCTCACTCCGACGCAGGCTTCGCGATGGCTTTGGCGGCGGCGTATTGCTCGAAGTGGAAGGCGATGACCGCGAATTGCTGCGAGCTCGCTTTGCCTTGTTCTGTCTATTATTGCTATTTGTTGAGGAAGTCGCAGTGCAGATCGTTGAGGTTGGCTCAACGCTCGCTAACTGCAGTGTTGTCGAACTGGTCGACGACACCTGGGGCGAGGGCGTACGTTTGCGTGGACGCTTTCGATAGGCTGCAGCGGCAGCGTTTCCTAGAGATTTATCACCATTCAGCGTCACTACAAACTGAGTTTTAGGCAAGGCGGCGGATGAGCACCCAACGCTGACCGCTTCTTTTTCCACATGCATGTCAATATCGATGTCCGATTCCTTTGTGTTGTGAACTAGCTGCGGCACATATGCCTCATATTCGCCAACACCCAAGCTAGGCACATACTCCTCCTCCTCGACATCGTCTTTTGCAGCCACATTGACCTCCGAGTGGGGCTCAACTGACGGACGCATCCGCTTGCGATCTCTGTGCAGCACATTTACCACTAGCTCTCTCCTGCTGCGTCGGAACAGCTCTCGTCCAGGCCTGTCTCCTGCTGAATCAATTGAGCGCCGCTTACCCAGCGTTGAGCTGATGATCTCTGGCTCATCCTCGTTGCCTCGATGCTTGGACCCACTGGAAGTGGTCGTTGTTTTGGCCAAAATTGTCGATCGTTGGGCATCGGCAACAGCTCGCAAGAGCAGATTCTTACAAGCCTGGCGACGTGGAGAGACATGTGGTCGTGGCTTGATCTTGATAACCGAATTAACGGGCTTCTCCAGCAAGTCCTCATCATCGGATGGCTCCGGCGGCTTATTAACTGCCACAATAACACGTGAACCAATTCGATGTTTATAGTTGTTGCTCTTTGGACTTCGACTGGGTGATCGTCGCCGGTGTAGGGTTTCGCGCTCCCTATCTCGCCGATGGGCTGTCTGACCTTCGTTACGTTCCCTGCGCTCTCTGCTACGATCTAATTTCTTACTTTCCTCTGGCTCTTGCTCACTACGTCGCCGATGGGCCGGAACGTAAAGTTTTACCTCTTTTTGTGCTCGCTGTGGACGATCCGAGAGCTGTGGCGATTGTGGCGCGTGGGGTTTACAACCCAATCGCTCGTGCACCGAGCGACGCTCTAAGTGTTCGTCCTTCGACTTTTGCTGTGCTTCTACTTCAGTTTGGGCTTTTGGTTTTTCTCTAGCTACCACCTGCTCGGACGTCCTGTTGAACACAATGGGACTCTTTGGTCTGCGAGTGCTTGAGTTGCCCGAGTATGAGTTGACTTCTTCTGTAACTGGAGCCGTGTTGTTGACAACAGCTTTCTTCGGCTCGTTTAAACTTGGTGTATAGTCGACAGGCGGCTGGGGTTCCTCTTCGTCAGTTTCATCGTCTAGCTCACCAATTTGACGCAGTTGCTGCTTTGCCGCGTAAATTTTTCGTTGTATTTCAGCCAATTCGGCTATATCCTTCTCCCGATTGCCGCTTGTGGTAGTTGAACTTATCTCCGACATTGTGGGTAAATCAAAGTCTTTTGATGTCGGCTGTAGATCTCTTGTCTGTGGCTGTGGCTGAGGCTGTGGTTGCTCATCGTCTTCGACAGTTTTCCGTTTTTTCTTTTTGAGCAATAGCTCGTCCTTCAGGGCGCCATCGATATCGAGCGTCTTTTTGGCTTTTTCTAGGAGTTCCTCGGCAAAAACATCCGTTATGGAACTAATTGGTGGCATGGAGTCAGTTCTTGACGTAACTTCGCCCGTTGTATGAAGCAGCTCATCTCCCGATTTTCGATGTGMCCTTTTTTCTCTTTTGTCTTTGGCTCTTTTATCCTTCTCCTTGTCCTTATCTTTGTCTTTGTCCTTTGCCTTGGGCACTTCTGCTTGACGGGACTTACGTTTTTTGCTGCTAGCTAAGTATGTACAAGAATTGAAATATACTATGCAAACTAAAAACGGTAGAAAACTCACAAGTCGGGGCTGGCAACGTGACTTCCTGCAGCTTCTGAAGAACTTCRTGTAGCCAAGTAACAAAGAGATCCGTTTGATCACCGAGGAATAGATTTAGCTCGGCATTCATTTGCTGTTTGGTGCGTTTGTTCGCTACCATTACCATCACATAATCTGGCAGTTCGTCGTCAATGAAGCCGGCAGAGCCACCGGTGCCCAATTCGAGTAATTTCGCCTTTACGGCACTCTGCGGCATTTTATAAATTGTGAAATAAAACAGAGTTGATTACGAGTTCATTGATTTTTCGCGAATAGAAAAAGTCAAACTTACGCGCATCTTCTGACCAATTTCGCTGCCTAGATTGCAATCCATTGTGACGGATATACTGTCGAAATATTGYGTGCCTTCAATGTGCRGTCKGTTCCTATTTGCCGAAGTATTACAACATTGACAAAAATAAAAGACCTACAAAAAATATTATTTTCTAGCAACTGCAGCACGAAATCAATGTGACCGAAACTGCACAATCAAATAATACCAAATTATGTACATTCATGTTATTTAACATACTGAATTCTGAAAAAGTGAAAACACTCACATTGACTTTGCTAACGCAGTCGCCTGAATGGCAGTTCGTAGTCTGACAGAAGAAGAAGCTGAAAAAAGTATTTCAGTCGAGTTTCAGTGCGACAATTTTTCTAATTTCATAATAAAATGTGTAATAATGGAAAACAGGCAGCCCAGTTTAAATGATGTGATAGTGCCAGGTGCGTTGTATTATCAAACTTTGTGAATTTGCAGAAATATGGCGTCTATTTGACCCCAGCCAAGAGGTACGCTACCTCTGGCTGGCTGGCATCAGCCTCAGTGCCCTGGGCCCGTGTGAGTGCAGAATCTGCGCGAATGGCCGCATCGAAATAAATGCAATTTTATGATAATTATGCGCTTTTAGCAAGCAACTTGTTGCATTTAATATATACCCCATTGTTTCAATTGCAGAATTGTACTTCCTAATTTCGAAATTTCTGACTGCGGGGCCCCTGGAAGAGACAGCAAAGGTTAGTGATCAGGCATTTTACTAAGCGCCGCCCCGAAAAAAGAGCGCAATTTCTTCGTTTGAATTTCGCTTTTGTTTACAAACATTTTACTAACCCGATTTCCAAATATCAATTTTCAGGTTCTGGTGCAAGAATTAGAGAAAAAGAAGGTAAGTGTAYTTGTGTGTGTGGRTCGSCCTGAGGTGACGCATTAAACAGACATTTTTTTTCTGAGGACTTTCCTCTGCTTTGCAATTTTTAATGCAGAAACTCAGAAACGTTTGTTTATATATATTGTTTTGGTTTTGTCGTCGTCGTTGTTGGTGTTGTTTTTGTAGCGCAGCCGGCAGCAACCTACACCGTCTGCTTATTTCAGAGTTCAAAGCTATACTGAAATTGAACTGAATCGTATAACGTACGGGAGAAGTCCGTCTGTCTGTACCGCCGTTTGTCCGCTTAGTAAAAGTAGGTAAAAAAGTAGGCTCCCGGCTGTGGCGGGCAGAAGCAACGGCGACGTCATTATTTTGATGCCCAGCAAGTGCAAGTGATAACAAATTTTGAATGCCGCTTCTTCTATCACCCCCAGGTACTGCCCCGACGMATTGACTGGCTGGGCAATGAGCATGAACAGACATTTGCTGAATTGGTGAGTTATTGTTGTGATTTATTTGTGTTTAATTGTCAAATTTTGTGATTTGTGCTTGCATAATTGAAATTAGTGTTCAGACTTTACGTCTTCGCTTTTTTTTTGTTCGACTATTGGCGTTTGTGTGTGTTTGTGCGTATGCGCTTTGTGACGTCACATGGCCATCGATTGATTGAATAGACACTTGTGTTATACTATTAATTTTTTTTTGCAAATAATGGAAATTAGTTTAATGCAGCATATACAATATAATTTAAATATATTAATTAATTAATAAAACAATATTTAGCTACAAAATAATTATAAGTTATAAATCAAAAGTGATATTGCTCTAAAAATATTACATATTTAAGTGCAGTGCAAAAAATTTTGAAAAATTAGATAAATTAATTACAATTACATAGTAATTTTAATAACAATCTGCCAATGGCCGACATCTTGCTTTCTATACAGTGATATGTGCATGAGTGTGTGTGAATATGTATGTATATATTGCTCAGCATATGCATGTCTCAAGGTTAGAGCGAGATGGCTGTGGGTACTTGCGCTCCGAACAGCTGCGCACTATTGAGCTATCGATATCGATATATCGTTCATTTAAAAATTTTTGTAGGAACAAAAATACGCGCATATTGGGCCGAATCATCTGTTAGAAATATGCAGTCGTCTTGGTCCGTTAGTCGACAAAGAGTTGGCGCCGAGCGTGCCAGGAATAAACTCATTGCTTGGCACTGGACGACAAAATTTGTTGCGCACAAAAGACACCGTATACAAACATCGTACTCTGCGGGATTACTGCACACGTCTGCATGGCATATCACTGCCTGACTCAGCGCTCACAAAGCCCGTACACAATTTAAGTAAGTATTAACAAGATTTAAAAAATGAGTAGAAATATATGCTAACACTTTAACTTTAACTTTTAGCCAGGGTACTCAGCGGACGAGAACATGGCGGGTTGGTTCGTCGTAAGTTGCTGGTGCCCACAGATCTCTACCGCAAGACCAAGTTGTTGCGGCGCACAATTGGCCACCTTTCGTCGGTGTATTGTGTGCTTTTTGATCGCACTGGCCGGTACATAATCACTGGCGCCGATGATTTGCTCATCAAGATCTGGTCTGCGGCGGATGGGCGTCTGTTGGCTACGCTGCGCGGAGCCTCCGCTGAAATAACTGACATTGCAATCAACTTGGATAATACAATGTTGGCTGCTGGCTCAGTGGATCGCATTTTACGCGTCTGGGACATGCAAACCACTTCACCGATAGCAGTTCTTGCCGCCCACACGGGCATGATAACCTCGGTTAACTTTTGTCCCTCACCACGCAGCGATCTCAAATATTTGGTGACAACCAGCACAGATGGCTCCATTGCCTTCTGGCAGTATTCGACACCGCGCGGTCAAAAAATAACCTTCGCACCGAGGCCCACTCAATATCACGAAAAGCTAAGGCCGGGACAGGCTCAAATGATGTGCACTACTTTCTCTCCAGGTGGCATGTTTTTAGCAGCTGGCTCTGCGGATCATCATGTACGCGTCTATATGATGGCCGAAGACGGGCCCAAGCGCATCCTAGAAATAGAAGCTTACACAGACGCAGTCGATTCGGTGCAGTGGTCGCATCGCGGCTTACGTTTCATATCGGGCAGCAAAGATGGTACAGCTCACATTTGGACATTTGAATCGCAGCAATGGAAAAGCACTAAACTATGCATGACCGAACGATTGCCCAGGTAAATATTCTAAACGTAAACAAAGAAAAAATAAATTAATCGATCAATCGGTTTGTTTACCTTCAGTTGTCCCGAACCGGAGGAAGGCAAGAAACTAAAGGTTACAATGGTCGCCTGGGATGCTTCAGATCGTTATGTTATAACGGCTGTCAATGATTTTACAGTGCGTAAAAGTACCAAATGATACAATTGGCATATTAACTTAAGTGTATCTTTGTTCAATAGATTAAAATCTGGGACTCAAAATCCGCTAAGTTGCATCGCGTGCTACGCGGTCACAAGGATGAACTGTATGTGCTTGAGTCGAATCCAAAGGATGAACATGTACTACTCTCAGCCGGCCATGATGGCCAGGTATTTCTGTGGGACATTGAGCAGGGTGTGTGCGTGGCTCAGTTTTTTAATGACATCGATGGCCAAGGACATGGTAGCGTATTTGATGCCAAATGGTCMCCGGACGGWACAATGATAGCGGCGACTGACTCGCATGGTCATATGTTGATCTTTGGCCTCGGTATTGGCACCGAAAAGTACAAATTAGTATGTGAAAAATTAGAACAAAAATCCCAAGTTGTTGGATATTAATGGTCTTCTCTTTTTAGCTACCCACAGAGTTGTTTTTCCACACGGACTTTCGTCCCCTGATTCGCGATGCACATCATCACGTCGTGGATGAGCAAACACAAATAATGCCGCATTTAATGCCACCACCATTTCTGGTCGATGCTGACGGTAATCCACATCCGACTAAATATCAGCGGTTTGTTCCTGGCCGTGAACGGTGTAGTATGGATCAATTAATACCCAATTTGACTGTGGGCATCGATGGTATTGTCATTGAGGATAATATAAATGCACCACCGAATGCTGCTGCTCTTGCTCCTGCACCTGCAGCTGGTGGAGTCGGAGCTGGAGCAGCAGGAGTGGGACCAGGYGGTAATTACTCGCATATCGATCGCATGATTGCGGCTTTGGCCAACCGACAAGGCAACAACGTTAACAATGCCAATGCCAACGATGGCAACGTTTTGAATCAATCATTCGAGCGACTAATCATGCGCCAAGGACAGGATCAATTGCCCGACTCGAATTCTTCGCGTAATGCCACGCCTCGTGGAAACGTGTTAGGCGGACGACGTTCGATAACCGAAGGCACTCCTCGTCAGGGTTGGGCTGCGGCATTGCCAGCAGCACCGGCGCCTGCTGCGGGTGAACAGGCGCAAGCTGAACCACTGCTTAATGTGCTACCTGCTCAACAGGCAATGCCATTCAAATTCGTGCGTCGCACTTACGTTCGTCCCATGAAATATGCGCAGCTACAGAACCTCAAGCAGACCATATATTCTGCAGGTCAGTTTGAAATGCAAGAATATAAGCGTGAGATGCGACGTCGCCCTATCATGATAAACACGGCCAGTGCAGCATCTGCACTGCAGGCTGGAGTTGGCAGGCCACGGAATACACGATCTAATGGGGGCATAAGGCCTGGACGTAGGCGTGGAGCTCAAGCTGGTCAACAGCAAGGAGGCCAACAGCCTGCATACCGGACTCGTGCTGTACGTGACCAGGAGGAGGACCACTATGAAGATGCAGCTGTGGCCGCCCCACATGAGGAAGAGGAAGATGACGATAGCAGCAACAGTTCCGGGGACACTAGTTACTCGAATGTGGAAGAGAATCTAGAGGATAGCAGTGATGAATCTGATACGGATAGCTCCGATTATTCAGACTGGGTTGCCGATACGCCCGGACCAAATCTCGAGCCACCTAAGCGTTCCAAGCGCAAACCACTCTCTCGCCGTCGAACCATGTCTGATGACAGTAGTGATGACGCAACGGCAGGCCCGTCAGCTGCTTCCAGCAAAAAGCGTGGCCGCAAGCGAGTGCTAATACCACCAACGGCGCCAAATGGCGAAATTCCAGAGCTTTACCGTCCTGCCGAGTGGCTGTCGGAAGTGATACCCCGCAAGGCACCGTACTATCCTCAAATGGGCGATGAGATTGTCTATTTCCGCCAAGGTCATCAGCGTTATCTGGAAGCAGTTCGTCTCAAAAAGGTCTACAAGCTATCGCA